CCGCTCGCTGTGCGTTTACGCGGTCCGCTCCAGGTAGATGCACTCGCTGCTGCGCTGCTTGCTCTCGAACAACGGCACGAGATGTTGCGGACAACGTTTGAGGAGCAAGATGGCACTGGCATGCAGATTGTTCAGCCAAGCCGCGCGAAGGACCTACGGATCATTGACGTATCCGACAAGCAGGACGGTGCCTACAATCAAATATTGCAGCACGAGCAGACGATGACCTTTGATCTAACTTCCGAGCCTGGACTGAGGGCATGTCTACTGAAACTGGGAGAGAACGACCATATTCTGTCTATCGTTATGCACCACATCATCTCCGACGGCTGGTCTGTAGACGTGTTGTGCCAGGAACTAAGCAAGTTCTACGCTGCCGGGCTTCGGGGCCATGATCCGCTCTCATATGTACGCCCACTTCTTGTGCAGTACCGCGACTTTGCCGTGTGGCAGAAGCAGGCGGATCAGGCGGCTGAGCACGATCGGCAGCTCAAGTACTGGGCCATGCAGCTGAAAGACAGCTCTCCGGCTGAAATGATCACCGACTTCCCTCGACCAGCCATACTATCCGGCGAGGCCAGCGTTTTCCCAATCGCCATTGAAGGATCTTTGTACAACAAGCTACGGGAGTTCTGTCGTGTACGTCACGTAACGCCTTTTACCGTGCTCCTTGCAACGTTCCGTGCTGCGCACTATCGTCTTACAGGAGCTGAGGACGCCACTATTGGCACTCCCATTGCCAACCGTAATCGCCCAGAACTCGAGGACCTAATTGGGTTCTTTGTCAACACCCAGTGTATGCGGATTACTATTGACGACAGCGACACATTTGAAGAGCTGGTACGCCAGGTCCGGTCGACAACAGCAGCTGCATTTGTGCATCAAGATGTCCCCTTTGAACGGATCGTGTCGGCTCTCTTGCCCGGGTCAAACGACACATCCCGAAATCCGCTTGTGCAGCTCATGTTTGCGCTTCACTCTCAACAGGACCTTGGAAAGATCCAGCTAGAGGGCCTAGTAACCGAGAGTGTACCGATAGCTGTGTCAACTCGGTTTGATGTGGAGTTCCATCTGTTCCAGGAGGTCGGCAGGCTAAGTGGCATGGTCATTTCTGCCAAAGATCTTTTCGAGCCCGAGACTATCCACGGCATGATTGGTGTCTTCCACGAGATCCTGCGCCGCGGCCTCGAGCAGCCCCAGACGCCAATAGCAACGATGCCCCTAACTGATGGTCTAGTGGATCTCCGCAACAAGGGTCTGCTAGAGGTCGAGAGAACGGACTATCCGCGCGAGTCGAGCGTGGTTGACGTCTTCTACGAGCAGGTGGCCGCCCACCCAGACGCTATTGCAGTAACCGATGCAGCTTCCCAGCTGACGTACTCTGAGCTGGACCAGCAATCAAACAAGCTAGCCAACTGGCTGCGCCAGCGCTGCCTCGCAGCCGAAACGCTGGTAGGAGTGCTGGCACCGCGATCGTGCCAAGCAATTGTTGCCTTCATTGGAATCCTCAAGGCCAACTTGGCATACTTGCCGCTGGATGTGAACGTTCCTGCGGCCCGCATCGATGCAATTCTATCGGAGGTCTCTGGTCACAGGCTAGTGCTGCTCGGGTCTAGTGTGCATCCTCCAGATGTTCAAGCATCAAGCGTCGAGATGGTGCGGATTGACGATACGCTTAACCAACACGATCCAGATGCTGCCAAGGACACCTTAGAGCGACCCCAGGCTACGAGCCTTGCCTATGTCATCTTCACATCTGGCTCGACAGGAAAGCCCAAGGGC